AACTACAAATTCAAATACTCGATCCTTCAATTCATTTACTAGCACTATGAATTTCTTCAAATCCATTCTATCAGAGGATTCAGATCCTCCAAAACCCGAAAACCCCCATGACCCGGAATCCGAATCCCCACTGAAAAGAAATCAGGATCCGTATGATGTTGGGCAGGACCCGGATCACATCTCACCGCCACCCAAAAGCCCGAATTCTGATTCATCTAGTGGTGGAGGGTGGAGTTTTGGTGGTCTGATCAAGACTTTTGCGACCCAATCTGAGTCGGTGCTGGAGACATATAGGCGGGATCTTAGGGAATTCGGAATGGGTCTCAGGAAGGAGTCGGAGATCATCCGAGAAGTCGCCAGCCGCGCCGTGAAGGACCTCCCTTCTTCGCTCGAGGCCGGTGCGTCGGCTGCTCATGGTTCGCTGGAATCTGTCGGGCATGCACTGGATGGGGTGCTGAAATCAACTGCTGATATAATTTCACAAGGGAAAGAGAGCCTTCTTTCAGGCTCGGATGGGGAGTCTGAAACGCCTGACATTAATAAGAGCTCGAGTTCGGGTCGGTACAGCCGGTTTGATGCCCAATTGAATGCAATCCAGTCTGATGTGAACACTTTCAGCAAAGATCCAGAGGATTTGGAGGAGTATCAGAAGTGGAAATTGGGGTTTACATTGGTGGAGAAGAGCAATGACGTTGAGGGGCTAATTGGAGAAATGGGGGTTTTGGAGAGCCTTTACAAAAGGCTTGTTCCTAGTACTGTTGATCACGATACATTTTGGTGTAGGTACTTCTATAAAGTGCATAAGCTCAAGCAGCAAGAGAGTGTACGGGCTAATCTTGTTAAGCGGGCAATTTCTGTTGACGATGATGAGGAATTATCTTGGGATGTAGATGATGAGGAGGAGGATAATGGATGGGAACAAAAGGGGAATGCGAAAGCGGAACATAAAGATGATTCGAGAAATGAAGATTCTAATGATAAGAATTTTAGCCATGTTGAGAAACGAGAGGATCCTGGCAATGAGTTGCAAAATAAGGAGGAAGGAGATTATTCAATTGTGGATAATGTTGACAAGAACAATGCATTTGACTCAAGCAAGAAGAGTAGACACAATGTTTCGTCTGATGAGAAGGCAAAGTCTCAAGAAATAATTGAAGTGAAAGATGATGAGAAAGTGGAGTCTGAACAAATAGCTGAAGAGAAGAATGATGAGAAAGTGAAGTCAAAGGAGAAGGTTGATGAGGAGGCAAAGGGTGAAAAGAATGGTGCTGGTAAAGAAATCGTGGTACCAAGTCATCAATCTGCTGCAGAGGAGGATTTGGAGTGGGACGAGATCGAAGATATTGAGAGCCACGATGAAAAGAAAATTAGTGCTACTCATGGTGGGAGCCCCAACAAAGCTGAGTTGAGGAATCGGTTGAGCATTGCAGAAGAAGATGAAGATTTGAGTTGGGATATTGAAGATGATGATGAACCCATAAAGGCTTAATGTTATGCCAACTATAAAAACCAGAAGATAAAGATGCTGATGAGCTTTGTGGGGGCATGAACTGATTAAAAGTAAATCGTATGAATGTTGGAACTGGGAGCTCAAGAAGTCACAATGGTGTTGCGGCTTCTTACCCAGTAAATATAAAGAATACAAATGTATTAACTTATGCAATTTGTTCCATTCTTTTGCTTGTTTGTTCATTTGGCTCTTTGTTTGATAAGGTGGAAGGTTACTCTTCCCTCTATCCCATTGTGTTTCAAAGCTACACCTGTTTCTTTGGCCCTCTGTTTCTGTTGGATAAGCAGAACAATTGTATTCATAATTTAACACTGTTACTGTTCTTCCTCTTGGGAAAAAAATTATATATTTCCTTCAATAATTCGTGCCATGAGCTAGTATTTTGTGTTGCAGCTGCTGTGGCACTGGTTTTGAAGGTGTTGCCAGCAATAATGTTGGCGTATTATAGATTCGCATTGCTGCATCTATTTCATGCATATATCTTTTTCACATTGTTTCCTCTACTGTTTGTTTTATATGGTTAGATATTCTCTTCATGAACTTACTCTCATTTCTCATGTAACTTGCAAATCTGGAAAAGCTTGCGTCTCTTTTGGAAACACGAAGAACTTGTATGTATATCATGATGTTTTCTTCAAGCATTTACAATAAAATAATTAATGCTTGTTGATGACATTTTGTGCTCTCTTGCTATTCTTAATTAGTTATACCACATTTTAACTATCGTGATATGTTTTCATTCCAAAGGTAGAAATACGACACATTTTCCCCTGCCGTGGCCCGTATGTCCACCCCCCCCCCCTTTCTTCCCTTCCCTTTTTGCATGTACCTTTGGTTTCTCATTCCGAACACCCTAATTCTTTTGGGAGATTCACACCCTAATTCAATTCTCATTTTCTTTCCTTTTCAATTTATACACTGATTCTCATATGGAGATCAACAATTGTCATCTACCGTCGCACTTAGTCACCATCGCCGCATGGATTTCAGAAATTAAAGTCTCAACCTTCTATTCTTGTTCTTCAAATATTCTTTCTTTCTTTTTTCAATCAATAATGGAATTAGAATCAAACCAAACTAGAACCGAATTGTTCGGTTCCTGCTTGGTTCCACATCTTTAAAAAAAAAAATCATTTGATTCTATTATAAAAAAAAAAAAAAAATCGTTGGTTCATGGTTCGGATCTCTTTGAATCAAAACCAAATGGAAGTATGGAACCATGTACATCACTAAGAATAATTGTGTTTTGCATCAAGATAACGTGAATTCAGATAGAGAGTTACATACATATAAAATTGTGAGAGTTCGGAGAGTACTATTAGAGAGATTCAGGTAAAGTGAATTAACTTTACTTAAAATTCGGAGAGTTTGGAGAGAAAATTGTTAGAGGAATTTTAAGAAAATAACTGCACTAGGTGGGATTTTTTTCCCAACAACTGGTCTAAGCTTCAAACTTTGAAATTACTGTAAGGCCCTGTTTGATTGGTGAAATTTTTCAGGGAACTAGGAAAATTTTTTCCGTTTTCCATCTTTTGCGCAGTTTGATAGCCTAAATTTTCCACGGAAAATATTTTCCTCCCCAACCCGCCACGTCAGCATTTTCCATGTTTTTGAGGAAAACATTTTTTCACCTTTT